AGAGGAGAATATCTTTGATCTTGCAGTTTGCCTGTACCATCCTACCAGGCTTCTGCTGTCAAACTGGCTGCACATGAGTGCAAAACTTTACAGCTGCGTCACCTCAAAGTCTGGCTCAAAAGAACATCCTGTGCTGTGGGTTATTTGTTCTTTTGTTAATTTTCAGTTTACCTCTACATCTTAGCAGAGGTCCCAATTTGACCCGCTGGCCTTGATCTCGACACATGTGGTCTAAAGGTATAGATAGCACAACAGGTCAGGAGGATGTGTACCTTTGAATCTTATTGTCACCCACTCCTGTGAAAGAGTGGGTGACAGGCCTCCTTCTTTACAAACCTGATAATGTTATGCGTTCAGATCTTGTGGCCATTTTTGGTGCTCTGTTCCTGCAAAGCATTGACTTTGATTAGTAATGCTTGACTTGGAGGCTCACGAGCACACAGCAAACACTTGTTGTGTCAAGGAGCTTGTGTATCCCACGTACTTACGTAAGCAGGTTGAATCTAATTTTACCTAAATGCCTGGATGTGTCTCAGACGTCTCGAATCTCAGACGACATTCATTTTCATCACGAAAAAAACTGACCGCAATATTCTGACTCATGAGTTTGTATCTTTCCAGACTCCAGCACTCTTCCTTTTTCTGTCAGCCTTTTTAAACCTCCCACGTCTCCTCCACGATTTTTCCAGACTGCAGGTTTAACTGCCATCGGCGCTGTGAGCCTTTAGTCCCCAGAGACTGTCCCGGAGAGAGGAACGGCATGAACGGGGAAGGTGAGTGATGGTCCCTGGAGGTCTGAGGTCTGGTTTTCATTTCATATTCTGGGCTTGTGGCTGTGTTAGACCATGGCTCTTTGAAAAGGGGCCTGACTCTGATGCTGTCAGCATGAGTCGAAGCTGATTCACCCTGTTTCCCAAGAACATTTGATAGATTCAGGCCTCACTCTAAATTAGCATCTCAGAAACGTCACATTCCTCCGAGTAGCGGTGATGATTAGCTGCATGATGAGTCAGGAAAACTCGATCAGAGCCTGATGAGGAATGAGATGAAATGATTTCACCAGAGAATATGTAAAAAAGAACAAACAAAGACAGGTAACTGATGCATTTTGAGTCATTTATTGAGAAAAATCAGACATTTTCTTTTGTTCGGTTAATCTTGAACTTATTTGTTTGCTATTTTTACCTCATTATTTGTTGGTATTTTATGGCCCTAATCGTGTAAATAATATAAATAGAATTATATGTAGCTGTTCATTAGTTGCTGATGTCACATTTCCAGAGAGCCCAGCAGCTGATCACAGCTGCCAACCAGACTTGGAGGACAATGAGTCAGTGATCACCAGCACCACAGAGATCTGCGACGATGACATGTTCACCGATGATGACTCACAGGCAGAGACCGGGGAAGTCGAGCAGCTGCGAGAGCCGATGAGGTCAGAGGGGCACTAAGTTTTTCTGATGATCTAATCCCAGCTAAAAGCTGTCTGCTGGTGCAGACAGTGTCCGAACGATGTCAGGCGTCTGAATCACACGTCGCCCAAATTCACATATTATAAAACAGACGTTTATCGTCCCTGTCGTTTATATCTGGAGTTTCTCGGCTTTGTTTGTGGCACACGCTGCCACCTAGAGGCGACTTCTGTTTAATTCACCATCTCCAAACGGACCTTTATTTTGTCCTCCCTCTCTTTTTCCGCCCACCAGTCCGTGTTTCAGCAGCAACATCCCCCTGATGAGGCTCGTCCAGTCGGTGCATCACACTAAGAGGAGAGGTGGAGGAGTCCTGAGAGAGGGGTGGCTGGTCCACCACACCAACACAGACACATTGGTGAGGAACACTTTCAAATCTGGAAACGTTCAAAAAAGCAAACTGTTTTGCTCAGGTTATGATATTTGTGAAGCAGAATCACATTTTCATCGGCTTTTAACTCGGTCGTATCTTTACTCAGAGGAAACGCCATTACTGGATCTTGGACTGGAAGAGCATGACTCTGTACCAGAATGAAAACACCACAAAGTTCTACAAGGTATGATAGTTGCATGATATAAGACGGAAACAGACGAAGCAGCATCCTGTGTGCTGCACGCTCACTCCCACTCGTATCAAAGGCCTCTGTCATTAACATGTATGCAGAAATGTTCCTGCAGTGTGCCAGTTTTGTTCCTCCCACTGTGTCACTGTGTAAACAGTGCAAACATCCACCGAGGCAGCTCGCACTCTGAGCAGTGTTTACTTTAAAGAGAACAGTATTGTATTTTGTGTATGTTCATTTTATCTCCTTCGTTTTAAACGTACTTTAAGAAGTTTGTAGTGCAGTGAAAATCAGATAATGAAAGCATGACAGATGTTACTTTGATTATACAAACATTATGTAGGAGCAGGTCATGGATAATAGCTTTAAACCTCCTCTGCAGGAGATCTCTCTGTCCGAGGTGCTCGGGGTCCGAGGCCCCACCCAGCTCTCCGTGCCATCATCAGACGGCAGCGCTCACTCGTTCGAGCTGGTGACGGTGTCGCTGGTGTACTGCGTGATAGCCGGCGAGGAGGGGGCAGCGTGGGAGAGCGCCATCCGGCAGGCTATGATGCCAGTGGAGAGCAGCAGAGGACACAAAGATGAGATCCAGGGTGAGTCAGAAAACATCAGATATTAATATCACATCTTACTCTGAATATGGTAACGGTGATGGATACGGACCCGCAACATTCAGTTAACAAGACTTCCTGTCTCTGATTACAGATCAATACCGATACAGACGCAGTGCGGTAAGATTTGAGCGAGTTTATCGTGCACACGTTAGAGGAGAGTATTACAGAGTGTTGAAGTGTGTTTGTGTGTGTTTCAGGACATCAGCTCGGTGTATCAGATCTGTACAGACGAGGTGCTGGGGTCGGGACAGTTTGGCGTGGTGTACGGAGGTCAGCTGATTCTCATCATGTTGTTATGTCCAGAGAACTGAACACGTGGAGTACAAGAAAATCCTGTTTTCTATGACTGTGACTGTCTTTATGCAGTGATCTGAAAATACATAGTACAGAAGAAACAGTTTCAAAAGTCTAAAAAGACACCAAAGAAATCAGAGACTTCAGAGGCTGAAATGTTGCTCAAAACAAACTTTTTCATCAAATGTCTTTCTGTTTTTGCTAAGCTACAAATGCTCCTTTGCATCATTATCACGTCTCTTTTCTTTTTCTTCTTCAGGAACTCACAGGAAGTCGGGTCGAACAGTTGCCATCAAGGTCATCGACAAGACGCGTTTCCCCACCAAACAGGAGACGCAGCTGAGAAACGAAGTGGCCATCTTGCAGGTTTTAATGCGGTTTTTAAACACTTTGCAAGAAATGACACAAAAAATGTAACAAGTTACTGAAAACACGTGAGGAACAAACCAGGAACAACCTGATGGTTAACCTTTAAAACGATGATCCTGTGACATAATTGTCAGAAAATTCACATTTTGATCAAACTTTTTGCCAATTTATTTAGAATTAATTAAATATTAATTTGCATATATGAGTTTTAATTGGTATCATATAGGCCACATTTGGCATTTTCTTTTATTTTTTCAAAATGTATTGCTTACAAATGTGTTGTGCTCTTTATTTTGGTTTTTGAGGGGAAAATAAGATCACACTGATGATGTAAATGCCTCAAAACCTCATGCATCAAAAATGATATATTAGGCATTAAGGGGTTAAAGAGCCATTCATCATTGCTTTGTTAATAACTCCTGATTCATTACATCACTGTAGAAGAACTAGCTTGGATATATTAGTGACAGTTACTTAATCTTGTTTAAATCCTGATGTATTAACTACGGAAGAGGATTAGGGCCACTGGAAAAAAAAATCTGAGAAAAAAAGTCAGAATTCTGACTTTTTTTCTCAGAATTCAGGAAAAGAAGAAAAAAAAAAACATGCCCACTTTTTTTCCCCCAGTGGCCCTAATCCTCTTCCGTAATTAACTAAACATTATTCAACATTAGTTAACTGCTGATCTGCTGGGATTTCCCCACACAACCATCACTAGTTTACAGGGAATGGCCTGAAAATGAGACAAATATCCAGAGTCTTCTGGTGAAAACAGGCTCCTGATGCCAGAGGAGAGTGGGCAGACTGCTTTGAGCTGAAAGGAAAGCAACAGTAACTCAAAGAGCCACTCGCCAGGTGCACTCCTGTCAGCTAAGAACAGGCCTGAGGCTAAATCTGCAGTAACCGTGTGATGCTGTCATGACAGTGTGGACCAAATTCTTGCTGTGAAAGAAAAAGGAGGTCCAACCTGCTTAATAAAGTGTCTGGTGAATGTTTATTGATTAACAGATGGCTGTGGACATGATTAGTAAATAATCATCAGTTATTAGTGAGTTATTAGCACAAGTACAAATAACTGTCACATTGTTCCCGATTCCTTCCTCACTTCTTCCTCATTAACTCAACACATTTGATTGAAGTGTTGCAGATTTTCGGTTGATTTTTAGTGTTATAGTCACGATCAGGTGATTTATGTGACGTCTGACGTGCGTGTTTTCCAGAATCTGTCGCACCCCGGCGTGGTTCTGTTGGAGGGCATGTTCGAAACTGTCGAGCACGTGTTTGTTGTAATGGAGAAGCTGCACGGAGACATGCTGGAGATGATTCTGTCCAGTGAGAAAGGTCGACTCCCTGAACGCATCACTCGCTTCCTCGTCATGCAGGTACGAGATCCCGATCTGAGAAACACTCCAGGGGTGTCTAGTTGTTTTTTTTTCTTCTTGTTTTAACAAAGATGCAGGGACCTTTAATGTTTCTATTTATCCCAAAATTAAATGTGAAATTCTCAAACGTGTGCTTCAGATTCTGGAGGCTCTGCGGTACCTGCACTTGAAGCACATCGCTCACTGTGACCTGAAACCTGAGAACGTACTGCTGGCCACTTCAGACCCCTTACCTCAGGTGGGATTTTGAACTTTAGTTCCCGATACAGCAACAGCACACGGCATCTTATTTAATCAGCTCTGCCTCTGTGCCGCAGGTGAAGCTGTGCGACTTCGGCTTCGCCCGGATCATAGGGGAGAAGTCTTTCCGGCGGTCCGTCGTGGGGACTCCGGCCTACCTGGCACCCGAGGTGATCAGCAGCAACGGCTACAACCGCTCTCTGGACATGTGGTCTGTCGGTGTCATCATGTACGTCAGCCTGAGCGGCACGTTTCCCTTTAATGAAGATGAGGACATCCGGCAGCAGATCACCAACGCCACCTTCATGTACCCGCGCCAAACCTGGGCCCCCATCTCACTGGAGGGTATGAACGGTGTTCTTCTTTAGTTTTAAAACTTCTTTGTGAGCTGGGTTTACAGTTTCTCAACATAGTGATGATGAGAGTTTATTATGCTTTCCCTGTTAAAGGTTTCACACACTACAAACTCCAGGTCGGAAAGTTGCCATGTCAGCCCACAGTTTTGCATCTTTTTTAACATTTAAATACATTTTCTTTAGTTTGATCCATGTCTGCCCACACATACAGTTTATAGTGTCATGCTAGAGTCCTGTTATTCTCCTGTTTCTCCACTGGGTGGCTCCAGTGAGCAAATCGTCCTCTAGAAAATCCTTCTCCATCTCATTTCCTCCCCAGCTGTGAGCCTCATCAATAACCTGCTGCAGGTGTCGGTGAGACGGCGGTTCACCGTGGGCAAAGCGCTGGGACACAGCTGGCTGCAGGTCGGACACTTTACAAACGCTATCATTGAGAATCGTTTAATTTTGTAGTGTGAAACAACAGAATTAAATCGATCTAGTGTTACTGCGTTCATAGGTGTTGACCAGGATGCTCAGATGCACCTGATCAGGTTTCTAATAGTCCTGATGTATAGATGTGTATGAGTCATGCACGCTCTCCTCTCGCTACTGCAGAACTTCCAGCTGTGGTGCGACCTCCGGGAGTTCGAGCTCAGGATGGGCTGCAGGTACCTGACGCATCGAGGCGACGAGGACCGATGGCGCTTCTACGCTGCAGAGATGGGGCTGGACTTCCCCTCCCGCCTCTGCTGTGACCCCAACAAAGAATTGGACATGTGACCTCGAGCACAGAGGTTAAGGGTCGGACACTTTATCAGACTGTGCAGCTACGTTTCAAAAAAAACATTCAGCAGTGAGGCCGGGGATCAAACGGGAGAAAAGTAATAAAGAAACAAACACGTGTGGTTTTAATAATATAATTTTCCTTTTTTATTTTCAAGTTGAGGTTTTTAACATACGACTGAAAGAGTGGCATCAGTGATGAGACAGCATGAGTTAGGGATGAGGGGGAGGAGGAGGAAAATGGAGCACAGATGAGTTAAGATATCGAGATCATGCACAGGGAGGAGCCTAACACAGCGATCGTCGTGGCTGACCTCTTCTCTTCAAATGCTACCCTAAACCCTGTGTTGTGAGTACGCCTGCTATGGTTCCACGTACAGTTTTGATTCTTCCCGTTTCATCCACAACTTTCCTGATGCCCTGTCTGACACCTCTCTCTGTCTTTGCCCCCCTTCTCCTCGTAATTTTACAATTAGCCCAAAAAAAGGCTAAAAAAAAGGAGTTTAATAAGAGAGGTGTGTGGGAGAGGTCGCTCTCTCTGGCCATAACAGCTCATCTTTCTGTATCCGTTCCCGAGTCACCGCCCAGCCACGGCACTCTCCTCCCGTTCCCCCCACCTGTGTCTTTTAATACTCGGCGCTCCCATTCGTCCTCCGTGTGTTCCTGAGTTTCTTAAGGCTTTAAGATCTCCAGGTTAAATCGCATCTTTGCTAACATTCAGGTTTCACAGTGCTGTGGTGAGAGTTTTCAGTAGCACCCGACAGGCCTCGCTCCTCTGCTGACTGAACTCGTGAACGGGCTGCTGCGGGGGTTTCGTGTGAGGGCGAGTCGGTGACTCAAAAGGCCGTTTTTTTTTTTTCTAAACTTCAACATAGCATGCATCTGCACAAATACACAACCAACCAAGCCAACTCGTTTTCTTCTTTGATCACCCTTCTACAAAAAAAAAAAAAAAAAAAAAGGAGGAGAGGGGAAGAGCATACGGCTTTGCTCAAAAATAATCTAACTTTCGTTCTCTCTCGTTGCCTCCTCCTCTTTAAAGCCTTGTGAAGGCAGGTATGTCATTATGTATGCTGCTTACATAAGTTCAGTGCAATAACTGGTACACCTGTTTTTTTCTTCTTCTTTTCTTTTAAACGAGAGAGGAGCTAAACAGCCTGAACAGAGTTTGTGAGGTCTGAGCAAAGTCTTCTGCTCTTCCCCTCTCTGAGCAGTGTTCCTGTGTTTTAAAAAGAGGGATGGGAGGAGGGGAGTAAAGTTAAGATTTGAGAAGGTGGTGGGAGAAAAAAAAAAAGAATAACGTGTTTTAAAGGGACAGTGGAAGGGTTTAAAATCGCTCTCTCCATACAGGAGAAATAAGAGAAGCTGGGAAGAAGGGGTGAGGAGGAGGAGGAGGACGTGAAGAGAAGCAGCTGCGCTTATAAGTCGCTCTCTCCGTAGAGGGCACTGGAGAAGGAGATGTAGTCCAGGGCGCCGGCGGGACAGTCCGGTCCGACGTACCTGGTCATGCGGGTGATGCAGTACTCCGCCTGCTCAGGAGGCAGCTCCCTGCGCAGCTCCTCCACCGTGATGTAATTCTGCGGGAGAGAGAGAGAGGGGGCGAGGTGTGATTCACGAGGAGCTATTGTCTCCTGTTACAAATGTAGTGGTGCATCTGTGAGGATCGGAGAACGATGACTCAAGGTTCAGGCAATCAGTCCTGCAGTTCGAATTTGGAAAGATGAAAACCTGAATTTAAATTACGGACTTACTGTTGAAATAAATTTGTACAAGATAAATCGCGATGTTTCTCCCAGATTTAAGGGGAAATTTTGCTCTTTGTTTCGATCGGGACACTCAGAGAATCCGGGTTACGTATGTAATCAAAGAAAAAGCTTGGAGTGAGATAAAGAGTGCTTCTGTATAATTTCTTCCTTGCATACCTGAGTGAGTTGCCTCAGTTTGGATTGAGTTATTTTGGGATATAAGCATTTAGGTGCCACAGCATCACCTTCCCTTGTCAGAGGTGTTTTCTATGAACATGAACATTTCAAAAAGTCTCATCAACCTACATACAAAGTATCAACACATCAGTGCTGATACAATCATACCAATGACCAAAAACCTGATTTGTCAGATTTCTTGTTTTTGTTTAATTTATTGAACTTGTTATAATTAAGCCAAGTTATACTATTTATATAGCCTGTTGGGTTAGAAACCATATTCATTAATAAGAAATGTGCTGGCTCATTGTTTTTTCTATCAGCTTTCGAAATCTGGTTTCTTGTTTATTGCTTAAATTTTCACTTCACAAAGCCGACTCCAGCCTGGGTCATTTACAGCCTATCCAGCAACTTGACTTTCTTATAACAAAACCACAGCGCTCCTGGATCACAGCTAATACGTTACTCTCACTGTAAATAGATACTATATCAGTGGTGACAAGGTGTTTGATACCAGAACCTTTATGTTATCCGTTTGTGGTCTGAGTTCCCCAAACTCAGTGATTTCTAAAGTGTGGGCTACGAATGAAAGTATGTACAGTTACATATTTATATGAATGTATTTATTTATATAAAAGGTGAATGCAAACTGGTAACAGGAGGAGTTTAGACTGTGATGTTACTCATTACTCTGAGTGTCCCAGTGGTAGGTGGGTCATACTTAGGACTTAACTCTGCATATGACTGTGTAGCATTAGAGATTTATAGCCAACAGTCTGTGTTTTTTATGTTTGTTGTTTTTTTTTAAATAAAAATTTCAAGGATAAACTTCACGGTCTCTTGTATTGATTTCAGATCCATTGAATTTTTTGTTTTTTGAAGGAGTGCAGTAGCACTCTTGACTTTGGCAATGGCTGCCCTAACCGGTCACATGTTTGGATGCAGGCTAACCATCGGAATTTGAAAGGAAATTATGGATTTCTGAAATGCAATCTTAAAACTGCTAGCTATAGTCTGCCTTAGCTTTTAAAATGCATCTGCATTTCTAATCACTGAGTAGTAGATGAGACAAGACGTCTCAGCCCAAATACACAATATGGACAAAAGTGCTGAGCCACACAGTCACTTAATCTGTGAATTCAGGTGTTTAAAATCAAGCACACAGTCTGTCTTTATAAACATTTGTGAACTAATCAGCTGTTATAAGGACCTCACTGAACTCTCTTCCCTCAAAGATATTTTACAGTTATCTGTAAGTGTTGTTATTGCAAAGCAGCAGAGTCCAAGAACCACAGCAACTCGGCCACAAGTGCAAACGCGGATAATCTGTAAAAGTTTTATTAACATCAGCACTAAAAATGTATGCCGGGAGCTTCGCTACATGAGTTTCCCTGTCTGTCCATATCAATGTGTCCTCTGGCTACACTGGAAGCTCTGTACAGGCTAAATAAGAAGACTAGTCAATGAACAGTTAGATGATATCAGATAAAAGGTAAGAAGATGCTGTATCCATCTGCTCACCTTGTCTGAAGCCAGAATCTTGAAGGAGGCCATGACTTGTTCTGCAGTGTCGGTCTCGGCAGTCTCACGGGTCATGAAGTCGATGAAGGCCTGGAAGGTCACAACGCCCGTGTTGTTGGGGTCCACCAGGGTCATGATACGTGCAAACTCCACCTCACCCTGTCAGCAAAAGCAACAATCAGCAATCGTTACTGCGCAAATGAATCAGTAAATCCTCATAGTTTACATTTTAACTACGCTCAAGTTGTTGTACAAGTCAAGCCTATGGAGCGCCTGACCACTGACCAGATCGTAACCCATGGAGATGAGACAGGCACGGAAGTCGTCTGGGTCCATCATGCCGTTTCTCTTCTGCAAAGGAACAGCACAAAGTATCGCTTTCATTACTGTGCCGAAGAGTCGTAGTAATTAATGAATTCACTCATTAGTGATGCTAAAACATCAATGAGCATGAACGTAAGCGACGTATCTAAACTTTTTCAGCCTCTTAAATAGGAAATGCCAAAGGAAAAGTTTGAAAACTATACGAAGCACCGCTCTCTTCTCCTCGACCTACGGTGTCGCCTCACCCTGTCGAAGTGGTTGAAGGAGGCCCTGAACTCGTTGAGCTGCTCCTGGCTGATGCCCTTGGCGTCGCGGGTCAGGATCTGGTTCTCGACCTCGTTGATGGTTCTGGCGATAGTGGTGAGCAGCTGCTCCCAGCCCACGCGGATGTGCTGCAGTGGAGAGGGAATGGGAGGAAATTAAAACGGAGGTAGCGTACGCTTTGAGTAGAGAGGAGTGAGAGCTAAGCCCATCTGCAGATCGCGCTGCGGTCTGCATGCACACCTCCATGGTGTAGTTGGTGTGCTTGTTGTCGAAGATGAGGGACTCCTGGATGAGCTGGTGGTCTCCCTCCAGTTTGTCGATGTTGGATTTGTAGTTGATGATGTTCTGCTCGTACTGCTTCAGGCTGTTCATCTGTTCCTCCAGGGAGCCGGCGATGTCCACAGACACGTGGCTGATCTCCTGCAGAGACAGGAATCAATGAGGAAATGCAACACTCACCATTCCAGCATTGTGTTTATATGCTGAGCTCAGATGTATTTTCAGTGCCATAAGACAAGAGGTCGGAGCATTTTCAAGGGAACGAAGCATACTTTCACATATTTTACTGCATTATTTTGTAGCAACAGCTGAGCGTTACTGTTCCCACAGATCACGTTGATCCGACCGTGCAGATTTACACACAGCACTGGTTACCCAAGCACCCCCATCTCGTACCTCCATCTTGGTTTGAATCCAGGGTCCGATGATGTTGGCCTGAGCGGCGAACTGGCGCCTCAGTCTCTCATTGGCCTGCTGCCTGGCCACCTCCTCCTGGAGCATTTGGTCTCTGAGGGGCACGAGGTGCTTCACCTGCACACACAGTTTATATCTGGTGACTGTGTGTAACTTACATTATTACAGTTTACTTAAACATGTCACCTCTTCCATTTCTACGCTTGCATCACTGCATCTTTAAATTAACTGAATGTTGCTGTCACTTTTTCCAAGTCTATATACATAGTTTTTCACTCCAGGTTGTCCAGACAACGAAAAAAAATTAGTTTCTTGAGCACAGATGGTCTGATGTGTGTCGCACTACGGCTGCACTGACAGGCTGTCCTGTGGAGTTATTTTGATTTCCCCTGAGAGCCTCACAGCCAGCAGTGCTGAGTGTCACTCTAACCCACATGCACTGTACTATTCCTGCCCTGTCGCTATGTTTGCACTGTGCTAATATTAGCTGGATGACCAAATGGAGTGTACACGGAGAGAGAGAGAGAGCCAGGTTGACATTTGCTGCTTACATAATGCTAACTTGCTGAAAGCAGATTAAAGAGCAGCCACGCTCCTCATTGTGTCTGCGATATGATAATTAATTTGCTCCTTCTACAAACGCTGTGTTCGTGGGGTCTGTTTGACTTGACTCACAGTGTCCCACTTAGTGCTGATGTCCTGGGGGGAGAGGTTGGTGTACGGGTTGATCCCGGACAGCTTGATGCCGTAGGT